TATGATATATTCTAAAACTGATGAAGATCATGCTAAACAATCTAGAATAGTATTGAAGTTGTTCAAGAAGCACTACGGGAAAACCCGTTAATACCGGCGGATAAAATCCACCGCTACTATAAGATATCCGTCGGAATAATGTGTTTCCGGCGCCCTTTTCGGCGGAATTCCATGCGCCGGTTTGGCTCGTGTCGATAAATGTTGTCCGGCGCATATAATGCGCCAGAAACATTTCCGGCGCACTTTCCGACACATTACCGGCGCAAAAAATGATGGCAGCCGACGACTTTTCGACCGATAATTTCGGCGACATCGGCGCCGGTAATTTGCGTCGTAAGAGTCCGCCGGTATTTACCGACGAAAAGAACGCCGTTAGTACGCCGTAAATAACCTGCGGGAATGTTTACGGCGCAAAATATGCATCGGACAATGCCGGCGGATTCGACGCCGGAAAAGGCGTCGGGAAGTTCCGGCGTACGAAGAGACGCAGGTATGATCGATACGATTCGTTGTATCGTTGTTTCCGGCGAATGGCCAGCGCAAAATCCACCGAAAACCTGTAGCATTGACAAAAAAAATTGCCTACATGTATGAGCAAATAAGTAATGGATTATCACGCTTAAGTAGATCTAAAACTGATTATATATAGATGTAAAAAGATAGGGTGCTTGTAGAAAATTATGATCATTTAGCCTGACGAATGAAAAACGCCTCAATACCCGAATACGCAATTTTAAACATTGCCTCCACTTTAACCAAACAACTTGAATATGCTTTGTAATCACCTCCAAAACTAATACATAAAAAATGTGCTTATTGTGAACCTTTGATACAAAGCATATTTTTCTCTAATACTACTAATCTTTTTCCCATCTCTATTTTTTTGTTTCTTTTTCGCATCATCAATGGTATCAAAGTGAAACCAAGACCCATCCTTCCTACCACAATCTCCTTTTCGCACATGATCTCATCAGCCTCTACTCCTAAACCCTAAACTAATTGATTTTTTGGTACTATCATAATATCTCTTTCAAAATCTATGCTCGATTACTATACCATAAATTCAATGTAAGTCTAAAGCAAAAAAGATAAGCTAATCATTTATGTAATCCAATTGAAATAGGAAAAAAATTCGTCAAAAGAAACAAAAAAAACTTCCGTTCCGTCGAGATCTCGAGCGTCGGCGAAGATGAACGTGACCACGAAAGCTAGGATGCCTCGGCGAAATCCAGTGACCGTCGGCAAAGTCCGGTGACCGTCGGCGACGGCGATCTATGGCGAGCGACGGAGGGCGACGAGCGAAACAGGCGAGGTGAGAGAACGTAAGGAAAGAAGTGACGGGCCAGAGGGGCTCAGTCTCGAAAAATAGGGCTTTCGCCGGCGGATTTTCCGGCGTCCTATCCGCCGGAGATATTACCGGCGCAGCATTCGCCGATTTTATTTCGTTGATTTTAAATACCCCGGCGCCATATCCGCCGGAACATGCGCCGGTGATTTTCCGCCGTAACATGCGACGGAAATGGTGAAATGTTGGTTTTTGCCGACGCCGATACCGGCGTAACTGACGCCGAAAAGGTTCCGGCGTAGTTTGCGCCGAAAAATCCGCCGTAGATTTTCCGACGCAACAATGCGCCGTTACCTGCGTCGGCGCAGAATTTTCAGCCGGAAAATCCGACGGTAATCGCGTGTTTTCCCGTAGTGAAGAATCAATTCAATCAATTGTATGCAAAATTTTCAAAATGTCAATTTTTTTTTTAGGAGCGTTGCATTTATGAAGCATATAATCAATAGTGAAGAAATCTCAGTTCAATGAATCCATAAAAGGTTAAACTTTAAAGTAATATTGGAATGCCTACACCAAAAAATGTTACAAAGATTCATAATTTTTTAGCTTGTCATTGTCCAAACTGATGAAAAAAAAACAAATTAAGTTTTAATGGATAAAAATGTAAAATTAGTTTTTAAGAATTAAAAATATATCAAATGCATTGTGTTAGCTAGCCCATCAGGAATAAAAACATTTCTAATTTAACAGTTTGAGTTGTTACAATTGGTATCAGAGAAATACATTGTATCCCAACAGAACTTTTAGTCAAAATAACCACCAGGTGGAACTCAGTTTCACTTTCAGGCCTACTATGAGAATCACATTCCTAACTTTGTTGCATAATCAACGTTGTAGTCTATTTAGTTGAAGAGTACTTATGGGTAGTTGGCAATCCAAATATTTTGGTAGCAGCTACTATCATAACAGGCCTATATATGAGAGCAATACACTTCTAATTTAAGAGTTTGAGTTGTTACAAATGGTATCAGAGTAATACACTATATCCCAATAGAACTTTTAGTCGAAATAACCACCAGGTGGAACTCAGTTTCACGTTCAGGCCTACGTATGAGAATCACATTCCTAACTTTGTTGCATACTCAATGTCATAGTCTATTTAGTTGAAGAGTACTTATGGGTAGTTGACAATCCAAACATTTTAGTAGCAACTACTATCATAATAGGTGTGTAGATTTTAACTTTTACTAATTCATTTACTATGATTTAACTAAGTTATGAGATATCAAGAGCATAAGGCACAGGAACCTCAAATGAGGAAGGTGCTTTAGATTTTTTATGAAATATTACGAGATAGTCCGAATTTAAGGAGTTAATGTTATGTAATTCTAATTACCTATTAATCATAACATCGTCAGCAAGTACGTTAGCGTATTGAGCGAATGTAGAGATTATCTCATTGTTATCGAATTGGTCTTGGAGGAATAGTAGCCTCTCTGGTGCATGACTAATGATACTTTGAACTGATATCCAATATACATTAGCGTCTATGGCGACTAGTGTAGGGTATCTTTATGCTTTGTTGCGTTCATAAAAAGTTCTAATTATCCATTAACTTTAAGTTTAACAATCACTTATTCATTATCAATAGCAGTTGACTCATTTTTGCTAGCTTCAAAAGCTTGAAATAGATTCTCTGTCTCATTCAGTATATCTATCATTTAAAAAATTTTCTTAGCTTTTTATTTCAGCTGAGATGATGAATTAGACTTTAACTTCAATATCGTAGTACTCTGTAGTAGTCGCTTAAGTCGAATTACGATCATCATTAAGGGCTAGAGCAAAATGACTGTAACCCGAATCAAGAAACTCATGCGAGTACTACAATAGTGAAGTCAATGTATGATTCATCGCCTCAATCGAAATAGAAAGCTATAAAAGTTTCTGAGAGAATAGATTTACCAAAGGAGCAAGAGCATGTATTTATTGCTTTTAAAGCTAGCAAAGATGAGTCAACTGTCATTGATAATGAATAAATGATTGTTGAACTTAAAGTCAACGAACAATTAGAAAATTCTTATGAACGTGATAAAGTATCAAGATACCCTACACTAATCGGCATGAACGCTAATGCATATTTGATATCAGTTTAAAACATCATTAGTCATGCACTAGAGAGACTATTATTCCTCCTTGACCAAATCGACAATAATGAGATAGACTCTACAGTCATGGGAGCTACCTCTTAAATCTTATGAGATAAAGTGCTATATAACGAGAGCCACCACTTGAACTTATAGAAGCTACCTCTAGAATTATATCATTTTGGTGGATGATTCTGAGAAAAAAATACTGACGAGGACGTCAGTTACTTAAGTGAGGGAGATTATAAAACTCTTTAAATAAGAGGAAGCTAAACTCTTGAGCATCGAGATGCCTTTCGGCGTAATGGTTAGAGTTTCATTAAGAAACTTCAAAGTTAAGCATGCTCAAATGGGAGAGGATGAGTGACCTCATAGGAAATTACACCAATAGGACAAAATAGTGAGACCATTAAGCCAAAGCAGACAATACATCGATAGTTAAGAGTTTGAGCTATAACAAATGATATCAGAGCACTACATCAGCCTGAAGATGAGAATTCAGTGTCATACATACAATGATACAAAATAAAGTGTCAGCAATGGGGGCCACCTCTTGAACCTATTTGGGATAAAGTGATACATGGAGGGAACCATCATTTAAACTTATAAGGGATGCCTCTTTAATCATATATGTTTGGTGGATGATTCTGAGATAAGGTCACTTATGAGAATGTCAGTTAATTAAGTAAGCAAGATTGTGAAATCCTTTAAAAAAAAAAACTAAACTCTTAAACATCGAGGCATCTTTTGGTATAATGGTTGAAAACTCATTAAGAAACTCCAAGGTTAAGCATGCTCATACGGAAGAAATTCTGTGATGGTTGACCTCCTAGGAAGTAACAACAACATGATAAACTTGTGAGGCCGTCATGCAAAAGTGAACAATATATGGATAGTTAAGAATTTTTGTTGTTACAATAACCTTCTCCCACACAATATCTCTTTCTCTCTTGTCCTCTCTCTCACCCCCCTTATTAATCCTCTTTGAGTTATTGATCTCATCACTGTCTCTTTCCCACTCTAATTGATCCCTTTTAAATTTTTGTCATTTATCACCCTTTTTATCCTTCCTTTCCTTCTTTCTCACTATCTATCATTCCTTCCCCCTATGTCCCATCTAGTAATAAATCAGTCTCCCCCTCCGTTTGAACAACTATCATCTCCATAATCATTGTTATTGTAGATTGTTAAACAATTCATCTCTTGGATCAAAGTTTCAAATAATTGAGGTTCAACTAATTCGATTTGCAACTAATTCTAAGAACGTGAAATTAAGAGTTTCGAGACCATTTCTAGCTACTGGTTGAACAAGTGAAACTAGCCTATTTTTCACCTCTATAATGATAGCCGATTAGATCTCATAAGAATAGCTACGAAAGCACCAAATATGTCGCAAAAAACAGTTATGAACGTATGACTAGATTTTAGAGAACCAGATAGATAACAAAGTACGCAAAAGTCACTTCAAAACTCAAAAGGCATATATTTTTTTCAAAAAGAGAAAAAGAAATCTTTATGCATAACCAATTGTTGATTAAGAGAAATTTGTTGCTTTCTTATGGATGAATTACCTGATAAATTTTCACACTAGTTTTGTCATTGAGATTTTTCAAGAAGCTGCCAGACTCTGATATATCATTTTCATTGACAGTTGAAAAAATGCCACTACCAGTCATCTCTTTTAACTTGGGACCAGAGGTCGGTTTCCTGTAACTTCACAAATAAATCGTTACAACATGAAAGAGAAATGAATGATAATTGAGTAGAAATTTTTTTTCTAAACATGACTATGTATAATAATATTTAAGATGCATAAAATGACCACTAGCTGACCAAAAGTTCTACAAGCATCATTTATTTCTGACTTATTAGTGTAAATGACACGCTGCAATGGAATAACGTCAGAAAGTCCAACTTTAATTATTATTAATCAAACTATCTTAACAACGAACTATAATGAAGAATATTAGTAAGTACTCATTATACAAAAAATTAAAGAAAGAATGGCCAGCAATGGCTATTCGCTTTTAGAGAATTGATCTAAAAAGAAAAACAAAGAAAAATAAATAGAAAGGAAAAGGATTTCAAATTGTACCCATGTATAAATATGAGAATCATAATAGTTAAGATCATTTTGGTGGTTTTTATGCCATGTTTTAAATGATTGTCAAGGATCTTGGCCATGCTATAATACATAAAAAATTGTTCAATCACCAAAAAACAAAGTATTACACACTTCTTACAGGCTAAGTTCAATAGGAAGCACTTCAAAAAGCAGATAAATTTAAATCAGATCAAATATACATTTCCTTTACATCAACATAAATCCATTGAATTTCCTAATTAAGGTCCACAAAACATCTATAATAATTTAAAGGATCTATTATACATTGTCAACATCTTCAAGAGCCCACTCATAAACCTCAGGTATTGAATTTACGTCATTAATTAAAAAGGAAGTATTTGCACACCACTTACCAGCTAAATTCAATGGGGTACGCTTCCAAAATTAGAACAACTACAATAAATTTACATAGACATTTCCTGAGTTTACATCAACATAAATCCACTGTTTTGCCAAATTTAAGGATCATGCACCAAAGATAATAATTTGGAGGACTAGCATACATTATGAAAATCTTCAACTGTCCATTAATAAATCTCAACGTATGGTATTTATAGTTGTTGAAATCCAGCTATCAAAATCCAGCCGTTCCTAGTGCAAAGGATCCGACGGACACAAAGATCAATCCGTGGGATACTCTCATGGATTACGCCATAATGAGGGGACGTATTTAGGAAAGATTTTTATGTATTATTTATGTATTAATTATGCAATTTATTATTTCCTCATTAGGATGTCTTGTATAGATCTATAAATAGGGAAGATTGTAATGAATAATTTCAAGCTTTTCCCTCTCAAATTCTCCGTTTTAACAATAGTAATAATTAAAAGGGAAGTAAGTGATCCTCCTTATTCACAACATTGTTGATTCTCATATTGCCCAATTTTTATGAAATAAAACAAAGGCTCAGTAAGTTGGATTCAAATTCGAATGTTAAAAAAAGAAATAACCCTTGTTCATCTTAATAAAGCTGAGAAAGGGCAGAAGAACAATCAAACAGAAATAAAGGATTAAAATGAATTGTAAATTGTCGAGTCAAGCTTGACTTCTCATAGGCAATTTCCATAAAACTGGTTTAAGAAGCATTACAATTAACCCCTAGAGTCTTTTAAAAAGTCATAAGGTAGCAATTCACTTTACTTTTTTCCCTTACAAAAGCAAAGTGGGGTTTTTCTTCCTTCCCAATCCTCAAACAGTAGAAATTCAAAGGTCCAAATCATCAGAGTAGAGATTCAAAGGTGGATGAGATGCTTCAAAACCTCTACTAGTATGATAAAAATTCAAATATTACAAAAGGAACTAAGCCTAGTTCATCTTAATACATTGACATGAATAAAAGATTGGAGAACAAGAAACAAACAAAAAAAAACAAAAATTAAGGATTCTAATGAAATTTCAATAGCATTTTCGTAAGTTTTTTTTTTTCATAAAGTCACGGAAGAAGCATTACATGCAGCACCCAATATCTATTAAATTAGTCATAAGGTAATTTCCTTAAAACTCGTGGAAAAAGCATTACAAATAACTCTAATGTCTATTAACCTAGTCATAAGCCCCCATATATGTTAAATAGTCATAATGTAGCATTTCACTAAATTTATTAACTTTTACAACAGACTACAAAGTAGGGCTATTTTGCCTACCAAAATTTTCAAAGAGTGCAAATTCAAAAGTTCATAAGTTGCTTAAAATCTTCAATATAATAATCCATGACATCATTTATTCCTCATGCAAATGAAAATCCAAATGCGGGCATCAAGAGAGAATAGAGTTGATTCTACATGCAGAAGTTCATGCTTAAGTTGAACAATGACAAGTCATCCATCATCATGGTCATCCATCACCATCATCAATTAAAATCATTCATGCTGAGTATTACATGAGGTGTTTAATCTATTTGAGTAGTTTTTGCAAAACTTCTAGACAAGTTATCATTGATCTGCACTTTTTTGTTCCTGATCGTTTAAGATTAATTATATTTGCCCATCTTATTGAAGCTTCTTCAATCCTCCATCAAGCAATTGAGAGAACTTACAGGAAATCTGCACCTTTTCATATTCCAAAAAAAAAGACAACACAAGTATTCCGTACAATATAACTTGCATGCTAGAATTTAATTAGGGTGAAGCTACGATACAATTGAAACCAACCAATTAAATGTCCGACCAATTGTCAATCGCTTACTAATTGAAACATATGCACAATTATTTGCAAAGAAAAGGGACCACAGAGCCTTTGCATATCAAAAGAAGTGCAGGATACTACAGCAAGCATCATTTTTCCATACATACAGGAAGCTTAAAAAAAATGAAATCGAAACATATTCATTCCCAGTCAGAAGAAGCAGACCAGAAATGAGAGAACCCCTATTTCATTCCCCCTCAAAGCTTGAAAACAGTACAATTCATTAAAAAGGCATTTTTTCAAACAGTTAGCCTCCAATATAATTAAGCAAAAAATGGTTAAAATTCAAATCCATTCTTCAAATAAGATTAAAAAAAAGAAAAAAAAATCTGCTCATATACACACAACAGAAAGAAACATAGTACTCCAGCAAAACACAAGCCGACAGCAGATCTCACCTCTTATTCACACTTTCAACCTCCTCCTCAGTCATCGGTCCGCCGAACAACGCTGGGCTGATGCCTCCCGACGGCTGCAAGGAATTATTTTTTCAACGATCAAAACCCTAATAAGCTAACAAAAGTGCGCAAACGAATAGTTCGATCATGGGATTGCTACCTTGTGAGAACGACGTGTGGCGGAGTCGGGCACCGGCGGATCAACCAGTTGAGGCGTCTCCGGCCAGGTAAGCAGATCCGCCGTCGAAGTATGTGGCTTCCTGACCGGCGTGCTCCTCTCCATTATCTTCCTTCCTTTTACGGTTCTCTCGACCGAAGGTGTGAGCTAGAAGCGGAGAAAATGAGGCAGGAGAAGAAAAGCAAAGGAGGTTTACTGTGGAGAAGCTCGAAATGATTTGAAGAAGCCAACTTTTGTGAGAAAAGTGCTCGCTGATTTTCTTTTATAATTGAAGGTTTCTCTCTCTTCAAGCAAGAGCGAGGGTGCTCTGCCTAGAGGTGACGTGGCAGGCTGGGGCTGTTCCGTTTCGATTCCATTGGCTTTCCGTCACCGCTATCGGTGACGGCCATCGCTGACCTAACGGCTGCAAATGTGCATTCTACAACGGCTAGTATAAAATTGTTGCTTAGTTTCTTTCACATCAATATTTTTAGGTAATATTTTTAATATAATCAATGCTATTTAATTCAAATTTTTTATCATAATTAAGGGTCAGCTTTTTCAATGTTTTTATTTTTTCAGTGAACACATTTTAGTTTGGATTATTTTTATGTGCATTCTACAACGGCTAGTATAAAATTGTTGCTTAGTTTCTTTCACATCAATATTTTTAGGTAATATTTTTAATATAATCAATGCTATTTAATTCAAATTTTTTATCATAATTAAGGGTCAGCTTTTTCAATGTTTTTATTTTTTCAGTGAACACATTTTCGTTTGGCTTATTTTTCAAAGTTTTTATTAAAATTAATTTTTATTATTAAATTTATTAGTTTCTATTAACTATAAAAATTATTATTATTATTATTTAATTTGGATAACAATTATTTTATAGCTATGGAAAACTAACAAATTTAATAAAAAATAAATATATTTATTTATAACACTCAAAAAACAAAACAAAAAATTCATAAATCGCGACATAAAAAATACATCTTTCACCAACTATGTAGTATATTATGTTGAAATTTTAGATCATGATATTATATTCTAAATACAATCAGAATATTCTATAAAATTAAAATTAATTTTTAGATGAGCATTATATATGCTAAGTAATTAAAGTTTTATATTATGCTTAGTTCAAAATAGGTTTAATAGCTATAAAAATCATTCTAATTAAATTTATATCAATATATTCTAAACTCTTCATTTTTCATATTACTATGCATCTGAAAAATCCAAAGCAGAAAATTATTTGTTTTATAACTAATAAGAATTTTAATGATAATAATATTTTTCCATATTTGCGTTCTTAGTAAATAAAAATATAATTAATCACATATTTTAGATTATGTCTATCTATTTATTAAATCACCAACAACAATACAGTAATGCTCTCATTTTTCTAACAAATGTTTTATAATCTTACAATATTTGAAAGCTCAAAATTGTATTTTAAAATAAAAAGAAACAAAGCTCTATAAATATTACTAAAACAAATTTATTCCATTAGTTCAGGGGCAGATCCATCTTTTTTTAAGAGTGAACAAACTAAATATATAAAAAATAAATAATAAAAATTATATATATAGCATAGAGGTCTAATCGCTAAACGTATGAAAAGGGAAAGGGCTAAAATTTCCTTCGCAAAATTTTACCTGAAATAAAAAATATATATTTAGCAAATAAAAGTAAAAGCTGATAATAGGTACAAGTAAGATTAAATTAAAAGTTAATATATATTAAATTATTTTAATATGATTTAAATAATATTATATTATAAAATAAGAATATTTTCATTAATTCAATATAAATATTTTAAATTAGAATACACCATTATTGTGTGCTTTGAATATAATTCAAAATTAAAAATTTGAGACAACATCGTTTGATTATTTATAAGATATTAAACTGTAAATGAATATAATATTCAATAAAATTTTAAAAAATATAAATCAAAGAGGAGTTGAATTTGCTAGAACATCTAAATCTTTTATTATAGCCGTTTGATCAAAATCAAAATTTCATAAATTAATATATATTTTAATGATCGGATTAATTCACAAGTTCTCTAGTTCCAAGCTAGTACAAACTTTATCCATGATAACATCATCTTGTTGGGAAATTTTTTATATGTGGGCCAATATATTTTTTACATATAAATAAAGAATTATACATTAGATGCTATCTAAAATTAAGTCAATTAAATTTGTGATCTATTTGAGTATTAAATTATTATTTGGCTTATGTGACATCTCAATTAATTTTGTATGGAATTAATTTGTGTAGAGGCCGGGTATTTATTTTATTTTTATGATGGGCTGAAATAAAATATTTACACTTAAAGTATATAAGGGTCATGGTCCCCAGTTTAAGCGGTTAAGTTCTCATTTCCCTCATTTCCCATCTTGAGTGAAAAGAAGGGGTCTCTCGCTCTCTTGGAGAACGCTGCTCTAAACGTGGAAGACCGAAATCCTTAATTCTGCATTTCAATGGATTCAGGTACGCTTCCGAAAATTCTTCTCGATGATTTGACATGTCGTTCGGAGACGATCGAATTGATTTTTGTGTCTCCATTAAATCCTAACACATCTGACTTTTTTCTTCCTTTTTAAGGTGAGGTAAATATAGTTGTTTTTTTATTTAAAAATATTAATTGTGAATTTGAAATAGATGAGATTTCATATTAAATTTTAATGATAATTTGCAAATTATTTACTAAGTAAGTCAGGGGGCATCCACAATAAATTATTTTTAACATGCATTTTTCATTAGGGTTATTAAAATTTTGAGACAAATTTAATTAGATCCATCCAATTTTACTATTTACAATACCAACCTTACCACACCTCCCATTCTCAAATCCTAGTGCAAATTTGAGCAAGAAAATTAGCAGAGATCAAGGTTTCATTTTGAACATATTTCTTACTATGTTCCAAAGTAATTTTTAATATATTCACTTAATACTAATCCAAGCAATTTTAAAATATTCATTTTACACTGTATTTTTTTTTATAGTATATTTCTTTTATATTTCATTCTTTTTTTAGCTAATCAAAAAACTCCTAACAAAAGAGCAAACAAAAACAGGATTGCTATTTTCCTCGATCTGTCCGGTCATTTTTTTATGAATTAAATAGCCCAGAAACATTTTCTTTGTTGTTTTTCTCTTGTGCATCAGACTTCTAGCAACAAAAAGTTAGGTGTTGGTATCTTGCATCCTACTCTTTAGACAAGAGTTCGCAACATGAAAATTTTCTTTAGAATCTCCGGCACTTCTCTTTTTAAAGTCTCAAGAAGCTCATTCCTATTGTATAAGCCATATAATGCATCGTTTTCTGAGGGAGCAAAGTTGTGCTTATTAACTTCACTAATTTAATAATCAAAGCAACTAGCCTTCAATGATATGCATAAATACAAACAGCTCTTCAAAATAAAACTAGGGACCCACAGTTGCTCAGCTTGGTTGGTGGGCGAATAAGGTTGGGAACCTCCCAACCCGAGCTTGATTCCGCTCGAGCGGCAACGCCTCTTAAATGGGGCCCAATAAAGTGCAGGTCATGAGGTTTCTGTGATAGGTGCCTCTTATAGGTTAGCTGAGGATTAGTCAAGCCGCCAAACGCCCTTTCGGAGGTGGCAGCGGGTGACCCCGTTCCTAAATAAAAATAAAACCAGGGCATATTGTAAGAGAGGGAGAGGATCCAAGTAGGGGTGTCAATTTTTTACCCGACCCGAAAAAATCCGGGTTAGGGTCAACCCGGACCCGAAATGGGTCGGGTTCTGGTTCAACAAATCAACCCATTATAAAAATCGGGTCGATTTCGGGTTGACCTAGCAACTCGAAATTGACCCGATTTTGACCCTAAAACTAGCATTTTTTGGTCAACTTCGGGTCATTCGTGTCGGGCCGGGTTGACCCGGACCCAAATTGGGTCGGGTTCGGGTCAGAAACCTGACCCGTTTTTAAAAACAGGTCGGTTCGGGTTGACCCGATAGTGCCGGGTCAGTTCCGGGTTCGACCCGTTGACCCGAATTGACACCCCTAAATCCAAGTTTAGCAAAATGCATAAATTATTAATGCATCTATTACTGACATGTTCAGTTATAAAACATAACATTTAAAGCAAAGCTAGCTTATGCAGAAAATCAGAAACCTAAGTTAATAAAGTGCAAATGATATTAAGAGAATAATCACATTCAAAGAATACATGAGAAGTGCCCTCTTTATGTTAATTGACAAAATTTCAATGATATGGCGCTTTATTAAATTATCAATAGTTTTAAGGCTTCCAATTAAGCAAGCCAGGCGTAGCAAAAAAACTCATAAGATTGAGTTACTATGTCATATATAAGTTTATGTCACGGAAAAAGATTTGATCTTCATAGAAATTATATAAAAATAATTTGAATGAGGAGCAACTAAAATTTTTCCAACTCATAATATTACTAGAATACTCAATATCAATCTGTGCAACAACTTTGTTTCTAATTATGCTGTGAAAAAAAATTCTCTCTTTGAAATCATTTAAAACAAATTGATGAAACAATCTCTCAGCTATGAGTTACCATGAGAGATTTTAACTACTATAAAATTTACTTATTAAAAAGCTGGTCTTTGACACTAGCATCAAAGACTTAGCTTTTGTTGGTCTCAACTTCACATTGTTTAATAATATGACTGATAAGCTCGTTCATATTAAGCTTAATAGAATCTTAACGAATGATGTCTGACTCTAACTCTTTCTATTATCTTTTTATTAAATTGAAAATCTCAGATGTTTGACCGCTCACTTTTAATCCTTCACACTCAGCCTCATCAAAGGGAGATTATTTTGTACAGAAACCGGACGCAGAACGTTATTTGGAGACCAATCAAAATGATCAGTCACGTCAACAATACCGAGATGAGGTACCGAACAAGAGGTGACGTGTATGGCGCATTCTGGTTAGTCTTTGTACGGCGTGTTAAGCATCAGAACAAAATAATTAATCCACCAAAAAACAATCATAATTTTTGTTTAAAATTAGTGGACTAAACATCTAACATCTATAATTTTGAGAAACATTAATCTCCATTTTCTCCCAAAATACTAATGAGAATCCCATTTTCTCACTTTAACTCGAGATTGAGAATCTTAAAATTATAATCAAATATCAGTAATAGGCAACCTCTCAAAATATCTCTAATGTCATAAAAGAGATTCAAATTCAACATTATAATTGTCTTTAACTCCTCGATAAACCTTTTGATCTTGCTCTTAATGCCTCTGTCAAAATTTTGGGGGATAAGTTTGTCAATGCTCATTTTGCTTAGGGGTGTCAAAACTAGTCAACATGTTGGATTTAGGGTCTGACCTGAAGCTGGTCAACCCAAACCTGACTCATTTAATAAACGGGTCAAAAATGAGAACCCGAACTTGACCTAATAATCCATTTTTATTTACTTTTTTTGTAAATTTTTTAACTTTAACTTTTAAATTAATTAATGTAAAATAAGATAATCATACGAACAAATAAAAATATTTAAGAAAAAAATAATTTAAGCAGGCCATTTCAAGTCAAAATCGGGTTGGTGGTCAACCCAAACACGACCTGTCATAATTTTGAACCTGAATCATTATTAAACTGGTCAATCCAAATCCGATTTTTTTTTGGGTTGGGTTATTTTCTTATGCCCGTAATTTTGCTTGGACTTTTTAAATTATTCAGAAAGCCAAATCTAAATGGCTCGTTCATTGGGAAGACGATCTCAAATTCTTATATAAAAAATTGAATGCTAGACAGAATCATAATCATATTAACAAGCTCTCAACTCCATAGAGAAATTGCACTGCCTTCACTAAAATCTTAAAAGTCATTATCCATTATTTCCAAAAAAAAATAAATAGCACTTCTAACACCATTTTAAAGCACTAAATCTCATTCTTTAGATAAAACAGTTCCAACCCACGGGCTTCTTTTTTTTACAACCCTTATTATTGATGATGAAATTAAAAGTATTGTCTTCTCTAATCTCAAAAATTCAGGCCCAAGTTGTGATGACCTCAATTTTAAGTTTTATTAAGCCACTTAGATTATTACAGGAACCCTTATCTGCAAAGTTGTCAATTAGTTCTTCAGATGCTTTTTTTCTCCAAAGAATATTAAAGGCTACTGCAATTACTTTGATTCTCAAAGCTTCTCACGCCTCTAATATGTCAGACTTTAGATCAATATCACTTTGCAACGCTTTTTACAAACTTATTACATAGATTTTTGCCAACATACTCAAAATCCTCATGCTATATATATCATACACTCTTTACAAGCTCGCTTTATCAATAAAAGATTTTCAATAAATAATATTATCCTTGTTTCTAAGCTTTGGATCAGTCCAAAAATAACATCAAATCTAGTTTTTTTATGTGCCAAGTTGGACATTTTAAAAACTTTTGATAGTATCTCAGGAGGTTTTCTTTTACAAATGCTCGAATAGATAGGCTTCAATCTCCTTTTATCTCTTGGATTAAAACTTTATATTGATGGTGCTCACTATTTTATTTGCTTTAATGACTCTTTTGAAGGGTATTTCAATTCTTCTTCTGGGTTGAAGCAAGAATGTCCCTTATCTTCTTACTGTCTTCTACATTATTATAAATGGCTTATCAAATATATTTGATAAATCCATATAAGAAAATGTTTATACAAATATATCTATAGTCTCCATCCACTTTTGTCACTTTTTTTATTCAAATAACTTATTAATGTTTGCGGAACTGCTCATCAAAATGCTTTTTTTTTTTAATTATATTCTCATAAAATTTCATTTGCATTCTAGTCTTCAAATTAATTATCAAAAAATTTTAGTCTTTAGCTTAGAATTTAATTTGTAAGAAAGAGTATATGAAATTACGTATCTTATTGGATTAGAGGAATTGTTATTCCCAAAAGCTATTGGAAGTCCATAAATAAACTTTGTGCTAAGATTTTATTTTATTGCAACGGTAAGAATCACAAACTGGTTTTTTTCTTAAATCATTTCTACTTCAATTGTGAGAGAAATTCCAGGTGTTTTGATGATTCCACAAGTAGCTAGCTCATCTATTACTTGCCATAAAATCAGAAAAGCAAGTTTTAGCTAATCTACTAAATAGAAGAAATTTTGAGAGTTACACATCTCATATCTTGATTAGAAAAAAACAAAGGTCTCTCTTGGAAGATCAAGTGGCAACAAGATGATACTTTCGATTCATACTTAAATGACAGTTTTATTGATTTCTGGATATTTTGCTCTTTCTGAGTCATATTTTTTGAAGTTTTTGCTTCCTTTTCTTCATTTCTTATTATAGGCATAATTTTCTTGGGTTTGCAGCTCAGTATTTTCATAGTCATTTATATGTTGAGTTATATATATATGATAACACTCCAAGGAAGAGGCCTACACGTTTAATAACGAAAAAAAGATTACAAGTCCTTAAAACTTTCAAAGCCCTCTAAATACATCAATTGAAATAAAACATGAGCCTCAGAAACCAACTAATTACAAAAATCAAAGCAAAAACAAATAAAAACTAGCAGAAGCTCCAAAGTCGCCACCAACTAGTCCCAGCATCCTGCAAAACAATTCTGAAACAACATCATCCAACCACGCACATCAAAGATGCATGAGAAAAGAAGCTTCACAAAACAAAAAAAACTAGCTACCTGCATAATGAAAAAGAGCAAATAGCCAAAACTACTAAGAGCAGAAACCAAACCGAGAGAATAGCCCACGAGTAATGAAACACAAGTAGCAGAAGAAAAATACAACCTTAGCAACCGACCCCCATCAGCCATAAGATAAAAACCAGATCAAAGGAGGAAAAGACCAAAAGAAGCTATTTCTTTTTGTGTTTTCTCCTACTCCTTTTACCAACCTTCTTGTATAATCCACTATCAGCAATGTGAATTACATCTAAACCATATAATTCCATAGAATCATCCTCTAGCTCCTGAAAATCTTCTCCAACTATATCAAAAGCTAAGGATTCCCACCAGTTAAACAATCACTTTGATCATCATCCTTAGTATTTGAAATACACCCATATGAGTAAACAACTCAGCCTTAGAAAGAAGAGAAACATGGACAACAATAAGAGGCTCATCTTCAATCAAATGCAATGAAGAAAAAGCATTAACTGTACTAGTGGAGGTGCCATTTAAATCAACATGGTTAAAACCACAAATAGGAGTTAGTTCATTAGGATTAAGAACATCATTGGACACCAAGCCAACATTACAAGACGGCACATCCAAGCAATTACCATATGTTGCAATATTATTGTCAACAGTAGAGTCACGAAAACCATTCAAACCCTGCACATCATATCCTTCCAAACCATCAATGTTGCCACCATTCATTTCATTCAATTTGTTATTCTCCAAATTAAAAATAACAGCATAAGGAGGAAGAATAATATTTGAAATATCAATAACCTTTTGACCAACAATTAATCCACCAGTAATCGACTCAATAACAAGCAAAACTTTCTGAGAAAGGGGAAATAATTTAACATTTTCAATAGGAGGAACAACACCACAAGTAAGCGCATCATTGTTTGGGCCATGGAGAACCTGCTCATCCAAACCATCCTGAGGAGAACCAATAACAACAACATTTACATGGCGGGACGTGGAATTATTAGCCAAAGTTTCCACCTGGTTAACATCTAAATGAGGGTAAAGTTGGTCACATTCCGCTCAAGAATGCCCGAAAGCCTTGCACATATCACAAATGGAAGAAAAAGATTCCATTTCAACACATTGAATGTAACCCAAATTATCCCGCCCAACCCAAATACCATCGGGGTTAATGAAACTAGGTTTTGCACCTAAATTTCAAGTTTTAAGAAATTCAGTAAAAGTTGAAGTCCCCCTGGATGTATTGAGAATCACTAGGATGCGCCATGGAACTGTTCTAGAGGCCACTGATAGGACAAAACTGGCCATCATCAACTGGAGGTGGAAGCTACCTGAAAAACTTCTTTTTTTTTTGGGGGGAATTTGGGGACTCAGCCCTTCTATTAATAAAGAGAAATTACAGGAAAAGAGGCCTATCCCAAAAAAAGGAAGGAGGCCGAAAACAAAATACAATAACTATAAAAGAAAAACCTATACCACCAATAACCAAAAACCAAACAAAAGTGGTATACAAAATTTGATCAGGACTCAGGCATTAGCTGCAGCGGAATTAACAAGGGACTCGGTCATCGCATAGATCCAAAAATTACCCCTGGTTGCCAAAAAGACCCTCTAAGGGGTAGGGCTGCAGCGGTCATCATCGTCCTGCAAAATTGTCTGAAATAACCAAAAACCTTGTATCTGGAAGATCGGGAGGGCCACCAAAAAAACGCCCAGCAACAGTTATACTTGATGGAATTCAGCCCAAACCAGAAGCAGCACCAACAGCCATTATAATTGGAACATTTCAAGTAAAAAACACCAGCCAAAAGCCAACCGCAGAGGGAAGCACAAAAATCCCAATTACCCCAACAGATGCAGAAAATTGCTGCCATTTTTCCATCTCCCCAATTTAGCCTGTACAGCATACTTAATCTTTCTGACCACAGTAGTGTGACATTCAATTTTATTGCCAAAAATTCTGTCATTACGAGCTCGCCAGATATAGTAAACAGCAGTATTTACTACCAAGCAGTAGAAGTTCAGAAATTCAGACGAGACCGAAATATCGTCCAGAAAATGAAACATTTGGTGTATGTTCGGACGAAGAAGTAATGAATGTGCTTGGGGGATTAAAGCACAGAGGATCTTAAACGAATAGTCACATTCATAAAACAGATGAGAGTGAGATTCATTACTCATCAAGCAGAAGATACAAAGTGGATTAACAGTGATACCACGCCTAATCAGGATGTCTGCCGTTTTAAGCCCGTTCTTAACGGCCAGCCAACCAAATGCAGAAAATCTGATAACCGAATGTTTATGCCAAACAAAATGATACAAATCCATCACAGGGTAGTGTATATAAAATTCTTGCCTAAAAATTTTGTTGGAAACCTTCTCAGAATAAGACCAAAGGCAACCAGTGGCTGCATTACTAATTGGAACAGAATTAATGATAGTCGTGAGAGCATGGGGCCTGCCATTAGGCAAATTCCATCTACCATTCAAAAGAATGGTAGAAACGGAATTATTGTTAAGATTATTCAGCCAGCAACCACCCAAATTAGAAGCAGCCAACTCAGAGATAGATTTACCATGGCACCAGGGGTCCCAAAAAAGGGAATGCTGACTGTTAGGCAGGATCCTAAAATTCAGACAGTGCTTGATTTGAGCAGCAATAGCAAAAATTTTGTTCCAGAACATAGAACAGCCTTTGTTATGAGGGAACCAGAGAGAGGTGTAAAGGTTACGCCAGCAGCAAAATAACAAATTGCTATCATTAATGAATCTCCAGATAATAGAACAGGAGAAAGTGAAGTTTAAAGCATCAAAAGAGGGAAGACCAATCCCTCCATTAATTTTTGGAATGCAAGTGTCTTTCCAGGCAATAAGACGAAGCTTTTTAGCTGCAATGTCACGAGAATATAGGAACCGAGAGCAAAGCCTATCCAAATATTTAAAACATTTCTTTGGAATAATTGAGCCTCTAATCCAGTAGGCGATGGTATTAAAAATGGTGTATCTTAAAAATTGAATCCTACCCCCAAAGGAGAGAGCTTTAGCCTTGCAACCATCTAACGCTTTTGTGATTTTTGAAATAAGAGGCTGAAAATCAGCAAAGGTGAGCTTCTTGTGATGAATAGGAAGGCCTAAATATTTAAAAGGCCTAGAGGTTTGTTGGATGTTAAGAATTTCACAAATATCCTCACACTGGTGGCAATTGTTGGAGAAAAGAATAGTGCTTTTGGCCGGATTGACTACCAACCCAGAAGAGATGCCAAATCGATTCAGAATATCATGAAGACAGGAAGCCTCCTGTAAGTTGGCTTTGGAGAAGACCAAAAGATCATCAGCATATAGAAGATGATGAATGGCCAAGTTACCCATCTTAAAGCCTTGAAAATTCTGTGAATGACAAGCTTCATCAAAGATGCAAGAGAGAGCATCCATAGCCACCGTGAACAAGTAGGGGGAGAGGGGGCAACCCTGTCTTAAGCCAGAAGACGAACTGAAAAAACCTTCAAGAGACCCATTAATGGCAACAGAGAAATGAACGTCAGAAATACAGGATTTAATCCAAGAAATGAAAATTGCAGGAAAACCTTTAGCTTGGAGACGTTGAAGAATGAAATCCCTTGAAATAGAATCAAAGGCCTTATGAATGTCAAATTTAGCACAAAAGTATTTTTCTCTAGGAGAAGAGTTGAATTTGCTCAAAATATCCGAAGCCAGAATAATATTATCCGAAATAATTCTGTGATGGATGAAGCCAGCTTGTGCAGGATGAATAATGTGAGGCATAACAGTTTTCATCCGGTTTGCCAACAATTTAGCAATAATCTTGTAGAAGGAGTTGCACAGAGAGATAGGCCTGAAGTCATTAATAGAGGTAGCATGTGGATGCTTGGGGATAAGAGCAATGGCAGTGTTCTTGGCTTGCCTGGGGAGAAAAGAAGTAGCAAAGAACGAGAGAACAGCTTTACAGATGTAGTTTCCAATAGAATTCCAAGTTGACTTATAGAATTCAAAAGGAAAGCCATCCGGCCCAGGAGCAGCCGAAGAGGGTGAAGTGAAAATAACATGTTTAATCTCTTCCATAGTGAAAGGGGAAGTCAGACCATTAACAAGATCAGAGGGAATAGTATTACCAATAGGCAAGGTATTGTTCCCCATAGGAGGAGCACCATTAAAAAGCTGTTGAAAATGGTTAATAAAGGCCACAGAGATATCATCATAAGTGTTAAGCAACACACCATTAACCGTAATGCCTCTGATTTGGTTCGCATTGCTCCTGCAGTTAATATTGGAATACAAAAACTTGAGATCATCCTCACCATCTTTAAGCCATCTGGCCTTACTTCTTTGAGAAATCCAATCAACCCATCTAGCTTTGTTTTCAGAAAGTTCCAAATTGGTAGACAAGAGCATAGCATTTAAGTCAGTGTTCAAAGGGTCATTTTGAAGGCACTGAAGAATATCCGTTTGAGCCTGCGCCAGAGTTTCCATCTTGTCTTTAATAAAGTTTGAAGAAATCCAGTTACTATGTTTAATTTGGCATTTAAGCTCTCTGAGCTTATGGTAGAAATCACATATAGGGCTACCAGTAGGGGGGGAGGAGAAAATATCCAAAACAGACTTCCAAAAAACCGGTAAAGTGCACCAATAATTCTTAAACATAAACCGGTGTTTGTTGGTGGTAGGATGATCCAGATTAAGAATGATCGGACAATGGTCAGAGACATCCGGTTCACTAACAATGTAGTAGGAGTTGGGGAAACAAGAGAGCCAGGCATCATTGATGAAGGTTCTATCAAGCTTAATATGAATCGGGTTATCCAATCTATGATTAAACCAAGTAAAAAAATGCCCAACAGAAGGTAATTCAGAGACAACAGCATTGAAAACAAAGTTATTCAGTTCACCCATCTTACTATGTTGTAATGGGAGACCCCCAACTTTATCCGAAGGGGAAATGCAGCAGTTAAAATCACCCAAAATAGCACAAGGTAAAGATTCATTGCTAACCAGAGAAGCAACCTTATCCCAAAGCAGATGTCTTTCAGAAATGTAATTAGAGGCATAAATAACCGAAATGCAACAGATATCCATATTCTCAACTTGAATAACACCATGAATAACTTGACTAGAAGTAAAAAGAGGCTTAAAGTGAACCTTGTCGGCATTCCATTTCACCCAAATTCGACCCGGTGAAGAAAAAGAGAAATTGTTGAAAGAGCCCTCAACAGGGAAAACTTTATGAGAGTTAGAAAACCAATCGTCAAGCACAGCATTCGCAGAGATTTTAGCTTCTAGAATAAACAGCAGATCTAACTTGAATTTATTCACCAAAGACTTGCACGACATTACTTTAGAGGCACTATTGAACCCTCTAATGTTCCAAGAAGCCATTCTTGGTGTGATCATTTATGTTTATGCTTGGAATTGGTAGCCTTTTTGGCTTGCTTGCTCCGAGTGTTTTTTGGGCTATGGAATTCATTGGCAGAGTCATTGCTGAAATTGGAATTCTGAGAGGGACTGTTCTCAGAGGAAAGTTGGGAGGTGGACGGAATGGATGTGGTGTTTAGAACCTTAGGGGGTAATTGGGCAATAGGCTGGTTCTTAGGAGAAGAAGTGGATAAAGGGTCAGTGGTAGAAGAGGAGGGAATGACAGTCCGCTCCTGCTGATCAGTTAAAAGGTCGAATTTATTATTAATAGGTAGAGTAGATTGGTTGGCAACCAGGAGAGGAGGAGAAGTCTTTGAGGAAGAAGGGATGTCAGCAACAGTGGCATCAGTAGGGGGTGAGTTGAGGTTCGGGATTGGGTTGGATTGTGGGTTGGATTGAGTGGTTGGAGGGTCATATAAGAGAGGAGGGGCTGCTGTAGAGTTGGTGGAGATAGGGGTCGTGTTGGGTGGTTTTGGAAAATGAACAGATTGTGGAGGTTGACTTTGACGGGGTTTACGGCTGGAACTCCTTCCCCTGGGCGGAGGATGCACCGGGGGGGAGGAGTGGGATTAGGATTTTTAGGACATTGTTGGGGGGCATGGTAAATGGAGTTGCAGAAGGAGCAAGGCGACGGTTTCCAATCGTAAAGAACCGTAAGCGGCGAAATTTTTCCATCAACCGAAATAAAAATTTCATCAGGTAAAGGGGATGAGCAAGAAACCTGAACGCAAACACGGGCGAAGGTTAACCTGGTTTTAGCCGCCGTGAGACCATCTACCGCTATAGGAACGCCGACACAGCTAGCAATTTTAGAAATTCCTTCCGGCGTCCAGCAAGAGAGCGGAAGATTTTTGATCTTAATCCAGAGAGGGATGGTAGCAAACTCCTCACGTTTTGGAATAAAATCCGGCGACCACTTCTGAAGGATAAAAGGCTTACCGAAAAAGAACCACGGTCCGCCGGACCATGCCATTTCGTAGTCCTCCGGGGAGGAGAACTTCAGGAGGAAGAAGCCATCGTCAAGGGTAAGAAGAGAGAGTTCCCCTTTCAGCTTCCAGTTACGCTTAATCACCGCTAGAAGAGCCTCGTAGAAAGGTCTTCTACCGATGGAGTAACCAACCAAAGACAGGTGCCACTCAGGAGCTCCAGCATCGAACTGGGTTTTGGTGAAATGAGCGGTAAAATTTTTTGTGGGGTGATGAGCTAAGGCGCTGGAGAAGTCGTGAGAAACAGGGGTCTGCGAGGAGAGAAGCTGCTTCCAGTGTTGAAGGTCTTTGGAGAGGGAGGCCAAGGATGAGGATGAGTTGGATAAAGGTGGAAAGGCGGATGAGGAGGACATCCTGCCGGTGGAGTCCTCCTCCGGCGGCGGGAGAAAAAACGCGCGAGGAAAAATCCCAAACCCTAGCAGAGTTTCTCACACTAAACGCGCGATCTTCTCTGCTCACTTTTGTGGCTATTCTCACATTCCTGAAAAACTTCCGTATACTGGTTCTCCCATTACTTGGATTTGCCTCCTTCACGACACACAAGAAACTACGAGGATAATGGCAGTCCGTTGAGGTCTTAGTCTTCAATATTTTTTTATATTTAATATGTCTATTTTTAATGTAAATTATAAAATGTTATTTTTGTCATATATTTAATTTAATAATAAATATATAAAAATTAAATATGAACAATTTTTGCTATATATTTAAAATATTTCTAATAAAAAAACTTATGAATTATTAATAGTAGTCCCAATTGTATGATGAGAAAAATAGAGGGTTGTGTTAAATAGTCGATTGGCAGCATGAAATTTATTGAATAATTATGATATGAATCTTTTATAAAGTATTTAAAATAGCATTTTTTTATTAAATTTAAATAAGAATTTGACTCTTAATAGGACACAATAGATAAAATGATTCAAGTTGTTGACCCCACGTTATGGGGATTAGAGCATGATGTTGTTTTTATTAGTGGTGGTGGTAGTGGCATTTGGGTGACACTTTGAGATTATTCAAGCCTTTAAACTCACTTGAATCTCTAGCAAATGGTCCAAGCTCCAAGTCCCTCTTCACGTAGGGAGTGTGAATTTATTTATAATTTTTTTAGAGCGGTATGCCCTATAAATATGACCAAAAACTAAAACTCTATTATATAGCATGCATTTATTCCCTCAATCATAAGTTGTTTCTTCGGCATTTATATGTCTTAATGATGTCAAAATCAATAGACCTTAGTCTCGTTATGACACTTGATTCAACCATAAGCATGCCAATTTCGGAGATCATTTGATCCTCCAATAATGTTCTAAAGTCTTCAATTATATTTCAAATGCTTGATATGCGCTTATTCTGACTCTGATATGATTATTTTTGATGTTGTTGGATTCATCTAGCTGAACAACTTAGTCTGACTGTTGAAATTACAGATCGGATGGTTTTGAATTTAATTTTAAAAAAATTCAATTTAAATAAACATTAAGATTTTTATCTAATCAACATGATTTTTGATGAGGTATCCATTTTTATAAAGAGAAAAATCTTTGAAAAAATAGTACGGTATGCATACCCAGCTAAGGGATGTCTTCGTCCCGCATTTGCTGAAGGTCCAAAGTAATGATACTTAGCAAAGAGCAGTTCGTTGGAGAATTTTTTTTTTTTGGGAAAATTGAGGGCTTGAGCCCATATTTTACTATGTAAAAGAAGTTACAAGTAAGGTATAATAAAAAGATTTATCCTCAAACAATAGGAGAATAAACCAAAAACCTATACCTCCCAAAAGTGCTAGAAAGAAAATAACAATAAAAAAAAGGATAAATGGACATCAACAGCATGAAGACAAAAATGGAGAGAATGTTTTTTGAGCTCCAAAAAATGGACTCACACTGCTAATCGTAGATATTTTGGTTCCAGCCAACGGTCGAGGATCTCCTGGTTGCCCAAGAGGCCCTCCAAGGAGATGATTAGCAGCTACATCATCGTCCTCCATAGAAAATCCATCCCTTCCAGCCGCTTCTTAGAGAAATTAACAGAGAATCCATCCATAAGACATCTACCAGAAAAGATGTCCATCCAAAGCAATAGAAAGGAGAATTGCAGAAGCAGAGAATCCAACAACCCGGGTAATCCTCGTTGGAGAATTAGAGGCCTCAGTTGAGACATTGCTTGATTTGGTAATTTTATATCCGCAAAAGCTTATTTCCCTAAGAAGTATCTGATTACAGTACTGTTTCTACTGCTCATATTTTTTTTTTTTTTTTGGGACATTTAGGCCACAAACTCACACACACAACGCATACACATTATAGACTCGAACCTTGGACCTCTTAGTTGGAAGACTAAGCTCTCAACCAATAGGCCAAGGAGAGTTGTGTCTACTGCTCATTTTTATTAATGAAAGCAGTGGATCATTGGATGCCTTTTTAGGCTCAATCACACCGTGCGTTTTATTCAGACACAAATTATGGAAATAATTTTTCTATGATATAGGCATAACTTCTTATTCAGATCAGATTAAGGAATATTTTTTTAATTTATACAATAGCATTACTTGAACTTGTAGAAAATCATTCATATGAACAGAATTAGAAGATTTAGGGTGTCTTTGGGGCAATTTTATGATTGTTTTATTTTTTAAACAGTGATCATAATTCGCTTGGCTATTACTTTTTTGTTGCTTCCTTAGTGTTTTTTTCAGAAATTTTTTATAGCGTAAAGTTGCTTTCTGCAACTATAATATCGAAGTTGTTTTCTTCACAATAACTTCACAATCAACTTTGTAAGACATTGTAGTCATCCCAAACAAACAATTCGATGCAAAATCAGTCGGAATGTATTTGCAATCGAATCAAAATCAAACCACATTTCTCAGTTTCCTTAAAACTATTTTATTAAAATTTTGAGGGTGGGCAATTATAAGCACAGGTCAGCCTCTGTCCACATGGTTCGACAATTCAAAATTTCAGATATTTTCCACACCTGTAGTATTTTCTAGCTAAATTAGCCTAATTTATATTTATATAGTTAAAAACTTGTAAGAATGTCTCGATGTAAAATAAGATTGAAATATATTTTTTATCAGAATATCAAAAAATATATAACTACATTTTATATTGCGCTGGATCACAACAAATGTTGAGCTGGATGAGAAGTGAATTACTAGTGGAATAACGATAAATGGGTTGCCAGCCTGCGCTGGGCAAATGGCCATGGGGATAGGTTAAGCCCCATAACGTGACAGTACCGTTATTTCCAGCATTGGATTCTTTCTAATAAGCATCTGGACACCCAATTCGGACGCGCCACATCACCCGAATATACTGGGTCCCGATGTATTTTAGTGACGTGTCGAGTCTGAATTGGTGTCCGGACGAATCCGGACACCGGACGTAATAATTTTTTACCCTTTGAAAGAGGATACATCTATATGTGATTGGTTATGTGGATTTTTTAGACCTACTGAAGAAAAATAATTCAAATAACTAAATCTCACTTAATAGTATACCGGCTTGATGTTATTGTTATTATCATCATTCTAAATTCCTCACACAAAATTTCTACAAAATAGGATAATGTTATCTTTCATGCTTCTTTAGATGAACTATTTACTTTTGATGAATTAAAAAATGTAGTCTTTAGTATGAATGGTAAAAAATCTTGTTTCTGCTGGTGTGTACATGAAGTTTTAACAAGAATTAGTGAAAGTTATTCAAGTTGAACTTTTTATGCTCATCATTGATATATATATTTGGATTCAGTTACTCTTGATTGTCTTGCTTCTGCTCTAATTAAAAAAGAGGAGTGTTGCTACCAAGGATTATAAATTCATTAGCTTGCTAATTACTCTGTCAAAATTTTAACGAAGGTTCTGACTAATAGTGTAACAACCCGATTCTTTGAAAATAAATTTAAAATCACAATATGAATTTCTATTTGAACAAGAGCACTAAGTGCTAAGGCGTTGACCTGTGAGCGTAG